CACCTCCCTCAGCCAGAGAACGTTCACGTTCAAGAGACAGACATAACCATCTGCAGTTGCGCAGCCGGCCGCAGCGGATCAGAACGAACTTGACCTTGCTAGAGACAGCCACTACCACGAGGCCACCTCGTTTTCTTGATTCCGTTTCACCCCATTCTCTTCGGCGCGCCAACGGAAAACTTGCATTTCACCTTGCTCTGTTTGAGTCTGACTCAAACAGAGAGTCTTTTGTAGTTCCATATCCATCGTTCTTTGCGACCTGGAAACGCCAGACGTGGATCATTTCCGTTCAGGTTCCTAATCTTTCAGCAGCTCAGGTGCCTCAAGTTATATCAGTGATCCATCCCCTTGTTGGCTAGCTTTGTCATGGCCACAGATCAATCTGGCTCCTCACCTGCATCCAGTTCACCAATGACGCTGGAGCCTTCATCGACAGCACCACCGGCTGCCACACCCAACTACCAGGCGTCCAGCTATTTTCTGCCAGGAAACCCGATGCCATACCTGGCACCATCGGCCACACACCAGCCAGAACTACTTTTGCTCGCTTGGATGCTAAGCATCCTCAACACACTATAGTAGCCGGCGTCCAACAAAAACTCCACCAGTCCTATCCACACCTTATCGCAACCTCTCCACACGCAATACATTACAACAACATCCCACCTCGACACCGACTCCTTCTTGCAGCAAACCACCACCGCGGCCCCCACCCTCCATTTCGTCGTCCACCAGCAGCGAAGACCCAATCATTCTCACAACAAACGTTCCCATTCTACAAAAATCACGTCCAGGACACCCTCCTCTTCGCCTACGTCCACAACAAACAGCACAACCTCCTCCTCCTCCTCTTCCCCCCAAATCTTCTTCCAGCAACACGCAATCTCCACCACTCCCTACACACCGCCAAGCCAGAATTACGATTCCACGACCTCGGCAAAATGGGAAGCCTATGCCTTTCAATTTTTGCACTGCAATCCGCCACTACTTGGATCCTACCAGCACACCGACACGGCAACCCTATCCTTTTGTACCACAACCGGATCTACCCAGGCAATCTCTTCCACCAACACCATCCTCATCGGCTCCACCAGAGCCGCTTGCCCATCACGTTCCATCCGCGCCACCTTGCCCTGCGCCACCACCGGCGTTCTCTCCCCACTGCACTCCACCTCCTCCACAACTTGCACCACCAGCACTCTTTCCTCCACTTCCTCCACTTCCCACCATCCAACTCACTGACCAGCAAGCCACTAATTTGACAGAGGCTATTTTGCGAATTGCCCGCAATGCCGCTGAAGCCGCAGCTACAAACATGGCTTCACCCTGAGCGCTCAAAGCTATAGACCGGCTGACCACTTTGGCTTCACTTCATACCACTCCACCCACATCAGGAAAAGCATACGGTCTCCTGTTTCACTCCCTCTCCTGATTTTCATCGACAAGCAATTTTACTCCATATGCCAGGTTTTGCATCTTCAGACTGTCATCTCTTATGGCTGTTCTTTTTGTTGATGCCTCAAGGACTTCTTCACCTAGGTTGTGTACATACTTACTCAATTTTGAATCGCACCTTTTCCACCTTGACTTTCACCGCAGCCTTTTTCAGCCACGTCGCAACGACGCTTTCTGTGACAGCGCAACGTCAGCCATGAGCATCCCGCAGCCTCCCGATGAGCGCCGAAACTTCCTTCTGGGCCGCAGTCTATTCTGAAGAGCCCTCAATGGCGCTGTGTGGCGTTTTGACAGATCTCAACCTTCATCGCTTCACCCTCCACCAACAACTGACGACCCGCGACTCCCTCACCGAAACACCACTTTGGCATCAGCCACTTCAAGACACCCTCTCAACACCCCTCCAACGAATCCTTCAACAATACCGCGTCAACCTCAACCTTGCCAGTGTCCACCTCCGCAAAGCCCTTGATGCGTTGGACGCACTTGGGCGCCATCCGCCAAGAGCTTATCTCCATGATCCAGATTCGGTACCAAGTGATTTGACACTTCCCGCAGAAACACCTTTTCCAACAGCCAGCACACTCCAGCCGGGCGAGCAGGTTCGCATCGCCCCCACTGTCCGCCACCAATTGCCCACAAATCCTACACGAGCACTTGTCCTCCAGCACACCTCCACGCAGACGACACCCACCCATTTTACTACACACCAGATGCAGCAAACCGACATTATTGTCACTCCACCTTGTTTCCACGAAGAGCCAGACATTCATGCCATTGTCCTCTACCCATCTTTTGCTTCTCCAAAACCGACCGCAGCCAGCCACTTACAATCTTCTTCTTCTACCCCCCCTCCGACTACAACGGCTCCACCCAATATCACTTCAGCCACCAACAAACAGCCAAATGCGGATCACTGGCAATACGCGGAACTGATCCCGGGCCCAGCCGCCGACAACCCTCCGCCGCCGGCACTTCCGATTACAGTGACCCAATCGGAGGCACTCCACGCCGCGCCAGATCCAAGACACCGCCGAGATCCACAACACCGCAACGCACCCGGTTCACCCACGGCAGGCACCCCGATCCCCGCTATGGATCGCCAGTGCCCAAATCCAGTTCCGCCGCATTCCTCGCTCCACAACAACCTCCACAACCTTCAGCAGTTGCTTTTGGCCAACCCAAACGCCCTCCACCGCCTCTTCCACAACAACAGCCTCACCCAGCTGGCGCCCAGCCCACTACACCACCTCCGGGCTGGTGGCCTACGCCACCTCCAACATCACAAGCACCTCAACCATCCCCTCTTCCACAAGCATTCTACGCCCAAGTCCAACGCCCGTGGCCTGCTTACTACCAACCTCCACAGCAGATACCGCCAGCACAGGCTCCACCACCAACACCCGCCTTCGCAGCAGCCAATCCTACCGTTCGGCTCCTCCCACCAAGCAGCGACCCCACCTTGTATGATGACAACGGACGACCGCTTCCACTGGCGCAACAACCATATGTGCCAGAATATGATCCGTGGCATGCGGACAACCACCAGCGCTGACGCGATCCACAGGGCCAATACGGCCATTTAGCCACAGTGGTTTTCATTGGCTTTATGTTTTTCCACCTGGTCTCCATGCCTTTTCATTCAATTTCAACCTTTCAACTGTTCTACTTCCGGTGTTCTCACTTCTGTTCAAATGTACCTGCTACCCAGCCATTTTGCTGACATATACCACTGACTGCGACCTCAGGCTGTTTCACCCCGCGCCACGAAAAATCATCAGCAGTCCGTTCAGTGGCATGCATCCGTTGATTCAGTATTTACCGTGGAGTTTTCACAATTTTCCAGTGAATTACACTACACCTGGTTTTCATGTCTTTTCCTTGTCTTTCATTTTCTTTCCCATCGAATGATGTCACGATTCTCGTTTTCCCTACCTTGCATAGCTCTTTTGCTCGAACAACCAGCTTTCCGCGCACCCATCATTGATCAGCTGCCCCGGCATCATGGACGCTCAATGGCAGCAGTACATTTGGCAACACTACCTGTTGCAACAACAACAACAGCAACACGCTGCACATCAGAGCTCAGCGGGCCACCCATACACCCCCACGGGTACGTATGGCCCCATGACCCACGCGGTCCGCACGCAACAAGCCCATCACACACAGCCTTACACTCCTTCTCCTTCACCTTCACAACCGCCACACGCTCGCTCACCATCCACGCAGCATGAGTTCCCGCCACCACCTCCGCCACCTCTACCAACCGCAGCTCCGGTCACTCCTACCACGACATCTTTCAAGCGCAGCCCTACTCACCCAGCCCCGACAGCACCACCAGCCACTGTCCCGTTCCCCAAGCCACCTATTCACGATTCCTGGCATCCCACCGACACCCATTGAAATTCCAATTCCCTGCACGGGCACCAACTTTACCGCACCATTCAACCCACCCAATGGTCCCGTCACCGTAAGGCTCTTCAGCTGTACAAGGGAAAGCTGTGTGTGCAACGACAGCGTGAAGCTGTCGTTTGTAGATGCCGTGCTTTTGGAAGCGAGAGCCTGGGCACATGTATAGACAGACTATCCTGAGACGCAGACATGTGGATTGACACAATGTTCTGACGTGGCATCAGGTATAGTTTGTGCTCTGACACATCATCTATCATAAAGGCTGGGAAACTGCCACTACACTTGCCACAGGTATGAACCAAAATATATCCCCGAACCTTTGAAGGGAAAAATAGGACCGATCCAAAACCGTGGGACTCCCCCCCCGCTCTCTCTCTCTCTCTCTCTCTCTCTCAAGCGTGCCTTTCAGCCTGATGATGGCTGAGCCTTGAAGCGGATTTTTTTGACTTGTTTTGCACTTGGTTTTGGGTGCTTCAAAGCACCTACACGCTCGGCTCCGAGAGCCGCAGTGAAGCCAAGCCGTGCCCTTAAGTTCTGTTTTGGTCGAACACAGATGCAACCAACCTGCACTAAATTTAATTGCCAAACACTTCTCCAGAGAAGAGATCTTTGTTTCATTTCTCTTTGTTTCACTCACTTGACATCTATACCGTCTATACCATATAGTGTTTGTTAAGTGGGGTTTCTGCACGCCGGCCATGTCTTGGCGTAGCCTGGCGGTCTACTGCCAGCTGTCTTTGAACGCTCGGTCCCAAGGAACGGCGAGAATGTAAAGAGAAGACAGCCAGCTTTCACGCACACCGCGCCAGCTCTCACGCGCGCCGCGCCGTGCGCTGGCGGATCGGAGGCCAGACAAACTGCGCGCCATCCATCATGGGCTGGCCAATTAAGGCTGGCTCTGCACGTGCTTCGTCCGAAGCAAGGGTGGAGGAAACCCATACACTATATAGAGGAGTGCGCATACATATAGTATATGGAAAAGTCTTCCTACAGGGGTTGAGTGAATACCCGATGGGAAAACATGATTTCATTTACATGTTTCATGGACATGGTGGCAACAATGCTGTGCCTGAACACTGCAGCTGTCTAGCACCACCTTGTCGAACCTGTCTTTGAGCGCTTGGGTGTGCGCAATGGCCTCTCCAAATGGCGCCAATGACAATGCATTTGGTCGCGTAGGCAAGTTATACGAAGATTGGAAAAGCGTCCGTGTCTTGCTCGCATATATATATATATACTGAAAGTGTTTCATGTTTGTGTGTGTTTTTAAACCTGGGGGGGGTCTGAGTTGCTGCTTGTTGGCAATTTTTGAGGCCATGGAAAAGTGCCTTGGCACGAGGCTCAGGTGGCGCCTCTCCTTGAGCAAAGCCAGCATTTTTCACTGTTTAGTTTTCTGTGGTGGGCTTTTGGCGCATGCCATTTTCTTTTGGAAGTTGACATATTGTTGGTCTTCAAGGAGAGCTTGGCCCGAAGCATCCTGAACCACATTCCTGAGAGGGCCCGCATGATGATCTTCGATGACTACGCCTTGGCTGGCTTACAGGTGATCACCTTACCGGAGGATGTCACCAGACCAAGCTACAAGGAGTGTATAATGCCAAAACTTAGACGAGAGGTTTCCAGACAAAGGTTTTTGGTTTTACTGCATTCCTATTGCCGTTGAAGTGGATGCCCTGCAGGAGATATCCAACAACTATGTTTGGCTTAAGCCAATATGCGAGGCCTTCCCCACCAGGATTCCTTCCGGCTTTTTTCTGATGGACGTAGTCCTTCGCTTCGATTCCATTATGAAAGGCCGCTTGCTCCTCAAGCCAGGGCAGAAAGAGAGCACCAAGCAGGACAAGGTTGTGATGGCGAAGGAAGAGATGGAACGCCTCAAGCGTTTGCTGTCAGCGCTCCGGTATCTCTACCGGAATGGCAGCTTGGAAACAAAATATTTCAAGCAACGACACTATAGGTCCTGGAAGCTTTGATGAACGAGTTCGACATTTGAAGGGGCTGTTGCAGCCTTCTCCCAGCTCACAGGTCTCCTGACCAATACTTGAATCTTTTTTGGTGATTTGTTTGGGCCTCCAAGTTTAAGAGTCTTTTGATTCTTGATGGGTTCAATGTCAACTTTTACCCAGGCTCGGCGCGCTGCCGCTGCTGCTCAACAGGAATCGGCAGATGAGGCAGATTCAGAAAACGAGGAGAAGGGTGTTCAACATATAGGATGTTTTTTGAAGCATCGTGTAGAAGGTGAGGCTTATAGGAGGCATCGCTCTCTGCCCATGAGGATGGAGCTGGTTCTTCTGACGAGGCTGAGGCTGCCGAGGAAGAGGAGTCTGAGCCTGGTACCCCAGATGAGGCTGCCAGCGACCCTGAGACTGACACCGACACCTGCGCCAAGCAGATGTCGAGCACAGATGTGCCTGACGGTGAAGATGGTGAGGAGAGCGACTCACAGGACTCTGAGAAAACCTTGATTCTTGGTCAGACCAGCGATCGTGACTCAGATCTTGATGAGGCTTCTCAAGACCAAGATGTGGAGATGTCAGACAGTGAGCCTGAGCCAACTCGCAGCGTGCTGAAGCGCAAGCGAAGTTGCTATGATGTTGAGGCTGAGTCGCTGAAGGCCAGGAGCGGTTTTTCAAAGTATAAACTCTATAAACTACAGGTGGGCGCAATGCAAAACGCTCGCAGGCTATACATACAGCGTGTTATAGTGGCTAAGTTCCAATCACGATGCAAATCTCCAGTTAACAGTGGCTAAGTTGAACACAAGGCTGCCACTTGTACTGAAGGTATGCGCACTCCTCTTGTTATTTCCCTTTATCCCCTAATGTGGATGCTCTTCTGAATCTTGTACTGTTACTCTAAACTCCCAACTAAGGAAAGCTCTTTGCGTGACGCTTTGTCCAAAATTGGTTCGAAATGTAAGCTTCCATTTTCTTCCAATCCGAAATCCTTGCCCCTACCAGAGCCAGATTGCTTGGCCCGTGTCAGCAGCCATCTCAAAAAAATCTATTTCGCCTCATGTGGGACCACAGGCGCATTGAATCAAGGGCATTAATAGAACCCAACCAAAGGCAGTGAATAGTGGTAAGTTGTAGGGGGTTCTGACAAGGGTCAAGCACTCCAGCCCGTCGATCCGACCAGCGACCCCTCAGGTGAATGGGCCAAAGCCCAAGTGCTCCGCCAAGAAGCGCAACAAGGGCAAGGCGTCCTTCCGTCGGGGCGTGCAGAAGGCCAACAAGACCAAGAAGGCCAAGAAGGGAGAGGGCACCAGCGAAGGCAGGTTTTTACACAAAATTTGTCCACCACTTTGAACAAATCCAAAAGGGTGCATGGTCTATTACCAGTTGTTTCCAAGCCTGTGAGGCCTATGGGAGCTATTCCCTTGAGGACATCCCTATCGGCGCCAGGCCTCAACCTGGTCGAAAACACCGAAGTACACACAGCTATCCTGTGGACGCCAGGGTTCAGGATCCTAAAGGGAATCTTTGTGATGTCACCGTGGATGTGCTTCTGAGAGCGAAGGCCTACTACATCAAAAAGGCTACGCCGGCTGGTCGGCTTGGCCAGATCAGTTGGAAGAAATTTGGTGGCCCACATCCGGCATGGTGTATAGCGCTGGACCAAGCTGCTTGCGGCAATGCTGGCAAGAGCTGAAGCCTTTCACTCTTCCTTATAGATGATCGCTGAAAGCGGCTGGATAGATCTTTCGGGGGGTGTTTCGATCAACCGGGGTGTCCAAATCTATCTTTGGCGGGTGGCGTTGCAATGGATTGCCCCCACAGTCGAGACCTACAAGTTGCGTGAAAAACTTGGCTGCTGGCTCACCATTGAAATTTGATTCTTTGATTTCACCACCTATCTCCAGCCCCCCCCAAATCCATGTGCAGACGCAGTCCTCTCAAATCTAATCGAAAACGGGTGGTGTGGTTGGGTCCCAACCTTGGCCAGGCGGTGACTGCAGTGCATTTGGACCGATGCCAAGGCAAGACCGGCGGCGCCGTGCAAACCTACCAGTGATTGAGAGCAAGCTCGTATTGAAAGATCTGTTGCCCAAAACAAAACACTCTCGAAGCCATTTTGCTTGCTCGAAGTGAGTGGAAACGGTTCCAAAGGTATGGGGAAGGGTCATGCTCTTGCTGCTTTTCGGGAGTCCAGGAAGGCTCGGGCTCTTACCAAACAGTGTGTGGCCCAGATGGCCGCTATCGAAAAAAGGAAGCCTTTATCTTTTCGGGACAAGAAGAAAGCTACCATACTAAGTGGTCTCAAGGCTCTCAAAGCGCCGGCAGTCACTCAGCGCAACCACCCATTCTGTCAATTGTATCCGTCTTCTTTGTTTGGGTTTGCTTCAACAATTTTCTTGGGGCGGTGGCCCCCCCAAATCTGACCCCTGCAAGTTTAATTGGTGTAGTGGGGATATCATGGGCGGTGCCTACGCTGTGGGGGTCAGATTTGGTGGTCACCCAAAACAGGAATATGTTGACATAGAGTCAAACGAGAATATATATATATATATATATAATGCTTGAAGCAAATGTGAAACGAGCTTCATAAGGTTATTGGCTTGATCGTGGCCTTGCTCTTTGACTTGAAGGCTCTACCCTTCTCAAGCAGTTCAACTCTACATCATGTGGAGGCATTCGCTGGAGACAGGGCAGTGACCATTGGCGAACTGCAGGACACTAGAATTCTTAACAGAGGTTGAGAGGCTAACCTGTCTTGGTCAGTGCTTCACCCAACACGTGTTCATGGGTTCATAGGGTTCCATGGTTTTGCCCCCAAGCTTTTAGACCATTTGGAAAGTTCATTCTCGTGTACATGTGGAGGGGTTAAAGTCGACCACTTTACCAATACCGCCCTGGAGGAAGGCCGCGCCAGTATCGCTTTGGATGTTCGACATCATGTGGGGATGGACATCTTGACCACAGAGGGGTTCTTGCAACATGTTTACCAAGTGTGCCGGCTAAGAGCCGGTGACTCTGGGTTTCTCATTCGTCTTTATGAGACTTGCCTGCTGGATTGGGGGCTCCGTTTTGGGGGCTCTATAGTCTAACTTATGTATAAACGACCTTGACTATAGAAGCTTTTGAATTCAAGCTTGCCCCTACACCACTCCTCGCGTGCTGTGTATATAAGGAGTCGAGGCAGCACTGGCCGCTCAAGTTTGGTGCCCAGCGGCAATGAACAGTATGAGTCGGTGGTGGCAGGCAACCGCATTGCTTGCCGGACCCTAGTGCTTCTTTATATTTGCGCAGCGCTTCAAACATGGTGGCTTTTAGAACAGCCTAAGAACTCCTTGATGCAAGAGCTACCAGCCTTTCAGTTCTTATGCGACAAGTCCGGACATACCAACACCATATTTGCATGGGGCACTATGGTGGACCCACACAGAAGCCAACGTGGCTGTACAGTGGACCCCTGGCTCAATTGGTTAGTTGACCTTTTCCCTCCTTTGTAAGGGATTGAAAGAACCCATTCCCCTTTAGAGAAACTCAGAAACCTGTTCATGGTGGGGGGCACCTGGCTTCTGACAATTGAGGAAGGAAGGAGATTGAGGATTTGTACCTCCACAGACCTCCAGCCCATTTGCTTCCTGATCATGACAAAAAGGAGATGGTTGTGGAATATCGGGATGGAGCTGGAAAAAAACGAGTAAAGGGAGGCTCTGACTTGAAAAATAGTCAGAGCTACCCTTTGTTGTCACTCTTCTGAAATCAACTCTCCTTTTCCTGTTTTTTGTGTCCTTCACAGCCCACTCCCCATTCTCAAACCCGGACTCTCCAATACGATCCGTCCTGCAGGTTTGGAAAGGCGTTGAGCAAGCTTAGAACTCAGCACCGAGAGGGAATCCAGAAGCAGGCCAAGAAGGCCATCAAGGCAAATCTGAAGAGGACTGATTCCAGCATGGACTACAAGTCTAATGCTCGTTGGATCAAATGGGCAAACTTGGAACCAATTCTTGAATTCCTCATGTAACAAAGCCATGAGGAAATTTGGAGTGTGCACTGGCCCATTCCAGAATCTAATTTGGTGTTTGGTTTGAGTGTGCGATGAACAAGCTTCACACTCGCTACTTTGCAATTCAAGCGGTTGAACTTCAGGGACCATGGCAAAAGAACCGATATTGTGGCTATGGACTTCACCATACATGCCTGGCAATTGACAACCAGCACCTCTGCAACCATCCCTATACACAGCCCACAGCCCATTTGCCAGGCTTGTCCTGAAGCGGGTGAAGAAAGGAGGCGTGAGACGCTCATCGACCGGGAGCCGAGGGAAGGCTGCAGGGATCAGCGTCCAACCCAGGGGGCCATCCCCCAATCAAAACTAAAGGAAACTGGAGGTCCAAATCCAATTTTCAATTTCCAATTCCTTGGATTCCAGGGGGGGAGCGCCCCAATTAAAAATAAAGGAAAGTGGTGGGCCAAGATCTTTTATAAACCAAAACAGACCATACTTCAGCCGAGAATTGGAGAGAAGTCAGCCGAGAGTGGGAGTGAGAGAACAGCCGAGAATGGGAGGTCCCTCTAATCTATTCAAATTTCATTGCCACTTGATGTTTCCCTTAGGTTTCCATAGCAAAAGGCAAACTTACGCGCGGCTTCTCTCCAAATCTGGGTTACAGTAGCAGTCTCAAAGCTTCTCCTGATTTTCTCGCCTTTCCCTAGCTGGCATTCTCAGCAAACGACAGCGTTCAAGCGTCCAGTTCACTTCAGCCATTTTGGTTTGCGCAGCAGCTGCAGCAAATGGCAAAAGCAGCTCCACCAGTACGCATGAGGGCTAAGGGGAAGCCTGCAGATGCTCCTACAAAGATGGCGAAGAAGTCTTTGAAGACCAAAGAGAAAAAGGCCAAAGCTCAAAAGATGTCAAAGAAGGACATCAAGGCACTGCAGGAAAAGACGAAG